ACAACTACAGACTATCTACTGTTAAAAGAACATATGGGATGTGAACAGTTCCCAGGAATGGGTTGTTTTAATTTGTCTGATTTCTCCCAGACTGTTCAAGTACAGTTGGACAATATCCATTATATCATAGACAAATTTTCACAAATGCCTAGGGTGCCTAATTGATTTTCTTGGCTTCACTGGAGATTGCTGGTAACTATAGATCTGCTTTGGTTATGTAACTGTATTCCTATTATGTTAATGTGTGTGCACAATTTAATTAGGAGTTTAAGTCCTATACATGCTTAAGTTACTCTACAAGAAGATATGTCAAAGAAATAATCAATCTTCCCATGTTTTCTTCCATCTGCTACCTCTATAGCTTTTCTTCTTCCTTCTTAATTACAACCCTTAAATAGAATTCATTCCTCATATCGAATTCACCGAGTATCATAATTCCTCCAAGTAGTAAAGATACCTCAAGGCAAATGCTGGGCATAGAAGCCAGAGGGCATAAATATGCAAAGAAGTAAAAAGCTAACCTTTTCAAACAATATGGCTTCACTCTCACTTACTATCTTTACATTTCCCTGTATGGCCCCGGAATATGATTGGTTAGCCAGAGACGGGTAAGATTCCTCAAGGGAGGAACAACCTAAGACAGGCACAGTATCAGGGGGGCCATCAGGTGAGAAATTGGGGATCAACAGAGGTGAGGCTTAGAAGCTCACCCCCTGTTTTGAGAGAAATCTTCTGCATCCGTGGATGTTTTATTGCCCTTATCTAGCTTGGATTAACACATAGTCTACAGGCACACACTTGATCATCTACATTTGCTCTCTCACAACACTAAACTATCCTTTCTACCTTTATCATGCATCTACCTACAACTTCAGCATTTTATTAAAAAAATAATAGTAATAATAAAGGGAAAAATGTGGGATTAACATATAAATCAAGTATAAAAATCAAACGAATATTCATATTTGACCTGATTGTTTATAGTTCATAATGAGGGATCAAAACTGAAAGTTTTTGTGATGACTGCCCTTGTACTGTTCACCATGTAACAACTTATTCACTATGTAAGAATTTGTTCACCATGTAAGAACTTGTTCATTATGCTTCAGAAGATTGGAGACTGACGAGAATTAGGCTGGGGGTAGATTAATGATTGTGCATTGAGCATTGACTCTCCTATACAGAATTTTATTGTTGTTAACAACCATTTGATCAATAAATATGAGAGATGCCCTCTCAAAATAAATGTTTATATTCCTTGAAAAACTCACCATTTTTATTCATGTCAAAGAAAACATAAGACTCTTCAGAGAGGTGACCCCAAACCATGAGTTTGAAACAGAAAAATTCTCAAATTCCTTCAAATTATGAGCAAAGTGACCTAGGTCTCAAGTCTAACTGGATAGCAACACAGCTTTTTATGCCAAACAAAGCTTTTAAAACCTTTTAAAAATAAACTTACACATTACCTGGTAATTGTTTTGGTTTTGTGATAACCTCAATTGGTTTGATGATGCAAAATGTGAAGATAAATTACTCCGTGATGGATTAGTACTACTGTACATTGTAGTAGATGCTGTATGCAGTGAGGTCCGTGGTGTCATGTGGTAGTCTCTGTTTTGATACAGTATATTATCTGACAAGTCTCTAATATTCACCATCTGCGAATTAGGCATATTTCTTCCTGGTCCGGGCAAAGCTGTACTTTGGTTCTCAGCTCGAAGGGAACTGCTGTTTTCGTAAAATTTTGAGTAGCTTGGTGTCTGTGCTCCCATCAATGCCAACTCTTCCTCTTTGGCATACTCATCATCAGCATCTCCAGTCTCCATTGCAATGGACAAATAAGTTGGCTCTGCTGAACTAGGCGTGTGTGGGCCATTCCCTCCCAGAATTCTCTGGGGGTAATCACTAACCGCCAATGAAAATACTTCACGGATTTCCAAATTTTGTGTTCTGCAGTAAGGGTCTCTAATAGGTGGCTTTTGCCCACACAAGTTATGTGATCCTTGACCTGTGTATTCAGGCTTGTATGACCTTGGAATTCCAACTGGTTCAATTTTGCAAGGTTGGTGGCACACAGATGGCTTTTCAGGTACCATCATCTCAGAGGCTTGCACTGAAGGACTGCCATAATTTTTCTTTCTGTGACTGTATACAGAATTGCCAGCATTTAGCACACTTGTCTGTCTTGACAAAATAATTGTTTTCTCACCTACGAGCAGGGAGGCATTTTTACAGTGCGCTACTTGTCTTTGAACGGGAATGTGCAACTGAAACTCAGTTGCATTTTTACTGGCCGTTTTCTGAAGAGGGATTTTATGTGCTTCTGCAATTTGTGTATTTGTATGTTTGGTTGTCCCTTGCCTACTTGATGAACTAGCTGGACTGTATATGCCAGTTACAATGACATCCTTATTGGCAGATGTCCAAGAAGACTGTTGGCTTGAGGGTCGAGCAATGTTAACCATATTTCTGACTGTAATGTCTGGAGCTGCCAAAGAGGTACCAGAAACAGTTCCTGCTGTTGCTGCTCCTGATTCAGAATTCTTACTACTCATCTTTCTTCTCTTATTGCCAACCCACGTCTGGAAGGATAAAAAATGATTTAGTGGAAAAGTTCTTAACAAAAAAAGAGAAAGAACAATTTCTATGAGATACATTGTATTCTTATTTAACATAGAACACAGGTCTATAAAAATTTAAGAGAAATAAGATACAATAAATAGACAAATAACTAAATTTTAAGTTCAGAGATGACCAGGGACTCCCATTTAATAAAAATCTAGTAACTTTGATAACAAAATTGTATTATTGATCCACTTATGCTCAAAATCCATCTAATTAGCCTGCAGCAAGAACCGTAAAAGGGTTTATATCCCTAGTCCTAGTAAGTTCACTTCTTGGAATTTATCTTAACAAATAATCATAGATGTAAACAAAGTTTATATGCAATGATGGTCATGATATATTTATTATATGAAAAATTGGAAGCATATCTAAAATAGGATACTTAATGACATTGGAAAATGCTCATTGTGTAGTTAAACTAATATACTTACTCTTTGAATATATCACAACTTGCTAAATTTCAATATTGTTATATTCCCAGATTACTTTTAGTAATATTCACTAGTATAACCATACTGCAATATACATCATTGTACATGCATCTTTGTGCTATCTAAGAAAGGTAACCATTGGGCTTTTGATATTTTCAAAGTAACCTCTAATGTATAACAATTCTGGTTTCCCCACACCCTCACCAACACATTGCATTATCTTTTTGTAGTCTTTACTAGCCTAGGAGTTAATAACAACTTTATAATTACTGTTTTGATTTGCATTTCTATGGTGACTATATTACTTTGCTTATCTGTTATCTTTACTCATTTTTATATTGGGGTATTTGTCTTTTAATTTAATTTATATGAGCAATTTTCTACTAGAGATAGCAACACTTCATCAAAAGTTGCAAATATTTTTCCTAGTTTGTCATTAATTTATGGTAGTTATTTTCTTTATACTTATGTAGTGATTATATATTACTTTTATAAACAGAAAAATTATAACTAATAAAATAATACAAGTGGTTAGCATTTAGGATCCAATTACAAAATATATACTTTTATGTAAGTAATGTATTAACATAAGCTTAGTATTATTAGACTGAATTTTGATTCTTCTTAAAATACACAATGATATATTGTGTCCCATAATGTGATTAATATACTTTATAATTATTTCAAAATGCCTATCATATTATAAACTACAAAACACGTTAATCTATGGAGAAATTTTAAACACAAATAAGTAAAAAAATTAAATGAACTAGCCTCACATAAACATGGTGCAGGGTGTATTTGGTTGACTTTTGTGTAATATGTTCTTGAAGACAACATAAATTATCCAATATACAATGTTTACTTATACTATATACAACAGGAATACTGCTGTAATACTATAAATACAATCTAATATGTATGGAATCCCCACTATATGTTTTACCTACATAGCTCTTTTGCAAGGTATTATTTTTCTAATTGTATAAATGAAGGAACTGACATTCAGAAATATTAAGCAGCTTCTAGAATGATATCCTGCTAGTAAGTGGCAGAGTAAGGATTCAAAATCAATTTTACTTGACCTCAAAGCACATTCTCCTTCCACTATGATGAGAAACTCCTGAAGTGGTCATCTCTGTTGGTAATTACCTCATAAATAGAATGTTCAAGAGACTGAGATGCTCCATTTTGCTTCACATGGGAATTTTAAACTCACTCTGATTTAGTTTTACTAACAGCAAAGATGGGAATTACAAGCAGAGTTACAAATGAATATGTCATAGAAGAAGGAGGAAAGGGAGAAAAACTAAAAAGTTTTAAAGTGTATATGCCAGAGAAATATTTAAACAGAATTATTTTGGGATAAATATAATTTCAATGAAAGTTCAAAAAAGTGAATTTTACAAATATTCAAGATCTGTGGTATTATGGTTTTTTAAATATGAAAAATATGCAGAGGAAGCATGATATACTTGCTCATAATTCTTATAAAAATATATCAGCATTACATTTCAAACCTTTCGGTGGAAAAGCATAATGAATCAGTAAAATTTGAACTTAAGAACTACTACATCTGGAGGGCAGCTCTGAGTAATATTTCAAAGAAAACAAACAAGCTACTGTGTTCTTGTTATAACACCTATCTTAACAGAGGAAGTTTAAAAGTGATCTTAGCACATTGCAAATTCATGGCTTACTTTTGTAACTTTCTGGTTTACATATCTAGAATTTACTAGGTATATTATGTGACCATCAAAAAAATAAAATGCAGTAGAATATCATATGCCTGTGAAATTCAGATATCTAGCAACCTTATTTGTCCAGAAAGCAGCCAACATAGATGTAACAAGACCTATGTACTTTACTGAAATGACAACCCTTGACCTTAAAACACCCTTCTCGTATTTTATACATAATTTTAGCAAATCTGGTATCCTCATTCATAACAAATTAGAAATAATAAAGCAGGAGGAGCATTGGTAGATAAGGGATTGATGTTGGAGGCAACTTGATAGCACCAAAACAAAGAATGTTCAGTAAATATTCCTCACTAAAAAAAGGAAGACAGGAAAAATATAATAGAATCAATGTAAGAAACCATAAATAGTCTGGTGTTCTTAAGCAAAAGAGAAAATCACCCCATGTACTTTACCATGTTGTGAGCACTATTATTTTATAGCACAGTATAGCAATTGATGTTCCAAATGAAACTGAGTCAAAAAGTAAGGGCTCAATTACTTTCAATATTTTCTATTGAAGTAAAATGGGAAAACATACACTTAATAATATTTTTAATTTAAAATATTGAAAACAAAATTCATTGCCTGAGGTTTCCAGTAACTGAATTATATTTTCCTAAAAATACTTCAGTTACAGGATCCAAAATTACCCATGCTTGTGGATATAAATGATTCTCATTCCAAATGCCTTACTGGTGAGAGAGAACGAATGGGTTAAACAAAATTGATATGATGAGAATTTGTGGTTGTAACTACCAAAACAATATTACATAGAAAAAAAGAAAGTAAAGATATTTAGGTTACTGATCCATGGTGTCCATAAAACTCTCAGTTATCTCTTAGAAATTCACTGTCTCCAAATCTCTTCTCCTATTTCTACAACTCTGTCTCAGTTTTCCTGTTCCTTTACACCATTATATTTATTTTTACACAGATGCCTTAACTTTTAAGTTCTTTTTAGACTGGGGTCAAGTTCTTAGTATAGTGGGATTTAAGGTCTTTTGAGGAAAACCACAATAAATATTACATTAAAAATTATAAAAGAGGAGATTGGATTAAAGATGGCGGTGTGAGAGAAGAGACAGAGGCTTCCTCCTAAAACTGGATACAAATAGAAAATTTAATTGGCAGAACTAATCCTGAGAGAGCAACAGGAAAGAGGATGGCATCAGACTGCATAAACCTGGAGAAAAGGCCAGACCTCAGCGAACAGGGTAATGTACCAGAGCTGTGGCTCCATGGGACCCAAGCACCTCCCCATCCCAGCACACAGGAGGGAGGGAGAGAAATGGAGCAGGGAGAGAGTGGAAGGGTTGGGACTGCTGAATACCTAGCTCTGGAGATCTGCTCTGGGAGCAAAAACCTACATTTCATGGTGCTTTCATGAGACTCACATGACTACCACGTTAGAAAGTTAATACAGGCAGAGTTCCTGGGTAGACTGTGATTCTGGCTGCTTGTGGAAAGCAGGGATCCGTATCTGGCTGCTCTGGGACAAAAATTTATACATGTGTGACCCGCCCACTGGCTCAATCAGTGGAGACAGGCACAGGAGCCAGGAGGCGGGGAACAGTTCTTTCCTACCCACAGGCACCAGTACCGCTCCGCTGCGACCCCTGACATTGGTTCGGGGGCTGAGCAGCTCCAGAATAGAGCTTCTGGACACTAGAGGGCGCCAAATACAAACATGAAATGCCAAAGGAACCTGGTCCAGAGTAAAATTGTTAATACAACTCCCGAGAAAGATTTAAATGATATGGACCTCATGACTCTTCCTGAAAGGGAGTTCAAAATAAAAATCATCAACATCCTAATGAAGGTACGGAAAGACATCCAAAAACTCAGGAATGAATTCAGGTCAGAGATCCAATCATTAAAGAACATGATGGAGGGTATTAAAAGCAGGTTGGATACGGTGGAGGAGACAATAAATGAAATAGAAACTAGAGAAGAACACAAAGAAGCTGAGGCACAGAGAGAAAAAAAGGATCTCTAAAAATGAAAGAATATTAAGAGAACAGTGTGACCAATCCAAGCGAACAATATTCACATTATAAAGATACCAGAAGAAGAAGAGAGAGAAAAAGGGATAGAAAGTGTCTTTGAGGAGGTAGTTGCTGAAAACTTCCCCAATCTGGGGAAGGACATACTCTGTCAGGCCATGGAGATCCACAGATCCTCCTACACAAGGGACCCAAGGAAGACTACAGCAAGACACATATTAATTAACATGGGAAAGATCAAGGATAAGGACAGACTGTTAAAAGATGCCAGAGGCAGAAATAAGATCACATATAAAGGAAAGACCATCAGACTAACATCAGACTTCTCAGCAGAAGCCTTACAGGCCAGAAGGGAGTGGCATGATGTATTTAATGCCATGAAGCAGAAGGGCCTGGAACCAAGATTATTTTATCCAGTGAGATTATCATTTAAATTTGAAGGAGGGATTAAACAATTTCCAGATAAGCAAAAGCTGAGAGAGCTTACCTCCCCCAAACCATCTCTGCAGTCTATTTTGGAGGGACTGCTATAGATGGAAGTGTTCCGAGGGTTGGATAGTTGTCACCAGAGGTAGTAAAATCACGGTAGGGAGGATGGAGCAGCTGATTGTGAGGCAAATGCAAAATTAAACTGACTATCCCCAAAGTCAATGAAACGATAGAGAAAAAGTACAGAATTTGATACCTAATATATAAAGAATGAAGGACAAAGAAAAAGGAGGAGAAATAGAAAAGAACCTTTAGATTGTGTTTGTAACAACATACTAAGTGAGTTAAGTTAGACTCTAAGATAGTAAGGAAAGTAACCTGGAACCTTTCATAACCACGAATCTAAAGCCTGAAATGGCAATAAGTACATACCTATTGATAATCACCCTCAAGGTAAATAGATTGAATGCACCAATCAAAAGACACAGAGTCACTGAATGGATAAAAAAACAAGACCCATCTATACGCTGCTTACAAGAGACTCACCTCAAAGCCAAAGACATGCACAGACTAAAAGTCAAGGGATGGAAAAAGATATTTCATGCAAACAATAGGGAGAAAAAAGCAGGTGTTGCAGTACTAGTATCAGAAAAAATAGACTTCAAAACAAAGAAAGTAACAAGAGACAAAAAAGGAGGACATTACATGATAAAGGGCTCAGTCCAAAAATAGGATATAACCATTATAAATATATATGCACCCAACACAGGAAGACCAGCATATGTGAAACAAATACTAACAGAACTAAAGGAGGAAATATACTGCAATGAATTCATTTTAGGAGACTTCAACACACCATTCACACCAAAGGACAGATCCACCAGACAGAAAATAAGTAAGGACACAGAGGCACTGAACAACACACTAGAACAGATGGACCTAATAGACATCTATAGAACTGTACACCCAAAAGCAACAGGATACACATTCTTCTCAAGTGCACATGGAACATTCTCCAGAATAGACCACATACTAGCCCACAAAAAGAGCCTCAGTAAATTCAAAGAGATTGAAATCCTACCAACCAACTTTTCAGACCACAAAGGTATAAAACAAGAAATAAATTGTAGAAAGAAAGCAAAAAGGCTCACAAAGACATGGAGGCTTAACAACACACTTCTAAATAGTCAATGGATCAATGAACAAATTAAAATGGAGATCCAGCAATATATGGAAATTGATAACAACAACAACATAAAGCCCCAACTTCTTTGGGACGCAGCAAGAGCAGTCTTAAGAGGAAAGTATATAGCAATCCAGGCATATTTAAAGAAGGAAGAGCAAACCCAAATGAATAGTCTAACATCACAATTATCAAAATTAGAAAAAGAAGAACAAATGAGGCCAAAAGTCAGCAGAAGGAGGGACATAATAAAGATCAGAGAAGAAATAAACAAAATTGAGAAGAATAAAACAATAGAAAAAAATCAATGAAACCAAGAGCTGGTTCATTGAGAAAATAAACAAAATAGATAAGCCTCTAGCCAGACTTATTAAGAGAAAAAGAGAATCAACACAACAACAGAATCAGAAGTGAGAAAGGAAACATCATGATGGACCCCACAGAAACACAAACAATTATTAGAGACTACTATGAAAACCTATATGCTAACAAGCTGGAAAACCTAGAAGAAATGGACAACTTCCTAGAAAAATACAACCTTCCAAGACTGACCAAGGAAGAAACACAAAATCTAAACAAACCAATTGCCAGCAAAGAAATTGAAGCAGTAATAAAAAAACTACCCAAGAAAAATAAAAAACCTGGGCCAGATGGATTTAACTCAGAATTTTATCAGACATACAGAGAATATATAATGCCCATTCTACTTAAATATTTCCAAAAAATAGAAGAGGAGGGAATACTCTCAAACTCATTCTATGAAGTCAACATCATCCTAATACCAAAATAAGGCAACGACCCCACCAAAAAAGAAAACTACAGACCAATATCCCTGATGAATGTAGATGCAAAAATGCTCAGTAAAATATTAGCAAATCCTATTCAAAAATATATCAAAAGAATCATACATCACAACCAAGTGGGATTCATCCCAGTAATGCAAGGATGGTACAACATTTGAAAATCCATCAACATCATCCACCACATCAACAAAAAGAAAGACAAAAACCACATGATCATCTCCATAGATGCTGAAAAAGCATTCGACAAAATTCAACATCCATTCATGATAAAAACTCTCAACAAAATGAAGTATAGAGGGCAAGTACCTCAACATAATAATGGCCATATATGACAAACCCACAGCCAACATCATATTTAACAGCAAGAAACTGAAAGCTTTTCCCCTATGATTGGGACAAGACAAGGATGCCCACTCTCCCCACTTTTATTCAACAGATTATTGGGGCTCTCTTGTCCCCTACTGGCATGAACCAGGAGCTCTTTTCTCTCACTTTATTCCTAAATAAAAACCTTAACCTTGCTCATGAACATATCTCCCTTGGCAAGGAAAACAAAAGCAAAAATGAACAAGTGGGACTATATCAAGCTGAAAACTCTGTATAGCAACAGACACCATCAATAGAACAAAAAGGTACCATACAGTATGGGAGAATATATTCATATATGACGGATCTGATAAAGGCTTGACATCCAAAGTATATAAAGAGCTCATGCACCTCAACAAACAAAAAGCAAATAATCCAATTAAAAAATGGGCAGAGGACCTGAACAGACAGTTCTCCAAAGAAGAAATTCATATGGCCAACAGACACATGAAAAGATGCTCCACATCGCTAGTTATCAGAGAAATGCAAATTAAAACCACAATGAGATATCACCTCAAACCAGTAAAGATGGCTACCATCCAAAAGACAAACAACAATTGTTGGCGAGGTTGTGGAGAGAGGGGAACCCTCCTACACTGCTGGTGGGAATGTAAATTAGTTCAACCGTTGTGGAAAGGAATATAGAGGTTCCTCAAAATGCTCAAAATAGACTTACCATTTCACCCAGGAATTCCACTTCTAGGAATTTACCCTAAGAATGCAGCACTCCAGTTTGAAAAAGATAGATGCACCCCTATGTTTATTGCAGCACTATTTACAATAGCCAAGAAATGGAAGCAACCAAAGTGTTCGTCAGTAGATGAATAGATAAAGAAGATGTGGTACATATACACAATGGAATACTACTCAGCCATAAGAAGAAAACAAATCCTACCATTTGGAACAACATGGATGGAGCTAGAGGGTATTATGCTCAGTGAAATAAGCCAAGCAGAGAAAAACAAACACCAAATGATTTCACTCATCTGTGGAGTGTAAGAACAAAAGAAAAACTGAAGGAACAAAACAGCAGCAGAATCACAGAATCCAAGAATAGACTAACAGTTACCAAAGGGAAAGAGACTGGGGAGAATGGGAGGGTAGGGAGGGATAAGGACGGGGAAGAAGAAAGGGGTTATTATGATTAGCATGTATAATGTGGGGGGTGGGGCAAAGGGGAGGGCCGTGCAACACAAAGACAAGTAGTGATTCTACAACATCTTACTATGCTGATGGACAGTGACTGTAATTGGGTTTGTGGGGGGTACTTAGGGTAGGGGAAAGCCTAGTAAACATAATGTTCTTCATGTAATTGTAGATTAATGATAAAATTTTAAAAAATGATAAAAGAAGATCTTTTTCAAGTAGAACATAGACCTACCAAAATATCAGGGCCTGAAGAAATTGTGGAATTATGTCTAAAAACAACTCTCCTCCTGTGTAAAAGCCACGAAAATTTTGTTGGAATTTAGATTAGGAAGACTGAATTTCTTTGCAATTTATGCTCTCCTGGAACAGAGAGAATTAATCTATTTCACAGAATTCCCTATAACTTATGTAACATTTCACTTGTAAGCTTGCATTCTAGGAATTACTTCCATTCTTATTGTTTTATATTTCACAGCACTTGGAACATAAATCTAAACTTTTGTATTTCTACACTTTCAATAGGCAACTACAATTATGTAAGTCAGCAGGAGAAGATTGCAATAACAAACTGGAAATATAGAAGGTCATAGTCCACAAAGTAGCTGCCTGAGAAGGCTTTTTACTTTGAAGGAATGGTAATAAAAAGAAAGAAGTTACTCCAGGAAAACAAAAAGTTCATACTTATAAAATGAAATCTCATCAACTTGAAATGTTATTCATTGTATATCACTTTTTCTAAGGCAATTAACCATTTTCCTCTCAGGTTTACTAAAGATATTTCAAATAGGGAATTTAGAGGTATCAGTAAAATATATTTTTAGTTCTTACACAAATCTGAATATGATCTCAGCAAACAAAACACAGATATACTGGGTGCTTCCCCCACCCCAGAACTGGTGGAATAATTCCCTATTTGAAAGCCAATATATATTTTTGTATTTAAGAAATAGATTTTCTAAAGATTTCTGACTATCAGAGTTTTTCATCTTTAGGTTCTTTGAAAGTTCCTCCAAAAGAGAAATAAAAACAGATGTCCTTCTCTTTCCCAAACAAGCCCAATTAATGACAAGGATGAGAATGTTGCTAATCTTCAAATCACTAAGGCTTCCCACTGAGAGAGTTTGTAGTATACTCAAACATAAAAGGACATATACACTCATTGAAATCTGTGAATAATTCTGTTTGATTTGTCTCTTGACTCCTCTCTCCTTCTCATTGCCTTTGACAAACGTGTAGCAGCTCTGATTTTTACTGCTGAATAACTATGGTTGTGATAAAGGAAAATTTCTTCCCTTGGGATTTCTTGTCCTCTATTCACTAGCTAACACATTAAAACACACACATTTTACTTAGAAGGAGGAGGAGGTATTCATTAAAAAGCTAGGTTTCCTTAAAAAGACATAGACACTAAAGTAATAAATTTCCAGTGAAGAAACTCCAAACACAGCAAGAAAATATGCTAGGTAAACAATAGGTCCTTGATAGACACTTGTTTTACAGATACCATTTCGGAGGGTTATATACCAATTAATTCTGGGTTTAAAGACAATATGAGATCAACTACTAATTTTAAAAGTACTCATTAGTTCAAAGGACTGAAATTGCTTAAAGATACGTTTATAATGCACAAATTTTAGTGTTTTCAAGGTATTTATAGAAACAAATACATACTAAATGATTAGCTCTATTTATTTTAAGAAGTAGTATTTTTATACCAGGGAAATGAAGCTGTTTATGAAGTTAGTGACTTCATACCCTGATAGTTTTTATCATACTAAGCAATAATCACTTGTAATTAAAAAAGCTATCAATCCAAGAGTGTAAGGCCTCAATACTTACCCTGACTACACTGAAGTCCAGCTTAGTCTCTTGTGCACACTGTAATATGAGCTGAAAGCAATTTTTACTTTGATTTGTCATTCCATTTTCATAATAACGCTGTAAAATCCTTTGTTGTTCTACAGTAAATACAGAACGTAGATTCATCTAAAAATAAAAGAAAATACTCTGAAAATTCGAATAAAAATTGGGCATGTGTAGAATTTGCATGTTTTTGTTTTTTGATACAATTTCAGTGCTTCCAAGCTGCAAGATTTCTTTAAGTGAATTAATCCCCAGTAATGGGTAATACATTATGTGCTAAAGGGAGACAGGTTCTCACTGAAAATTACATGTAATGCAAACATTTATTGAATTTGTTCAGGAAAAGTACCAACTTTAAAGACAAAAAAAGAGAGGAAAGACCTTATCTGGTTAGTGTCAGTGCATGGGGAAAAAAGGTTCTTTCACTGAAGTAAATATTGATGGATAGTAAGTCAGAGATGGTGGTAGCTACACATGGTCAATTATCAACAGGGACACTCACTGTTCTTTATCAAGCAAGGCATCTGGCATAAGTCTTATAGCCAGAAGTTGTGCTCTGGAACAAAAGGGCGATTTTATTTTTCCTCTTTATGGATAAAGGGATTCTTTTTGCATATTGAAACAAAACCCTCTCTTTAGAGCTTAAAGATAAACAGGAAGTTTTTGTAGCTGTGAAAATTGCTTTAGGCGACAGTAACCAAAATAATTATTTTTAATAACTATAGTATATAAATCAAAATTCAAAATTATGTGTATTTTAAGAAAAATAAACCATATGAAAACTATGTAGCTTTTAGTTAAATTGACACCATCATAATTAGATGAGATAAATTAAAAAGAAACCCATTTTATCTTCCCTGCTAATAGGGAAGATGTTAAATATAAACATCTCTGTGATTCTTACTAAAAAAGGGGGGGTCAAGCGCTTTTTTGCAAAGGATTTGTACATTTTATAAAGAAGAACACTTGTAATTAGATTAAAGCAGTTTCAGGTTCTTGTTAAAAGCTGTCATACTGAAATTGTTAATCCTAAAAATTGACTAACAGGAAGAAAACGCTTCTGAAATTATCTGCAAAATTAGGAAAACAGCAACAGCAAACACACTATAAGCCAAGCCAAACAGAAGTCATTCTGGTTAGTATACTGTGTACATTGACATGGAAATAAAGAATAATTCCTTTTTTTCACAATATTTTAAGCATAAAGCAGTCTCATAAAGAAATTAAACACAGTTATATAGTCATCCATTTCAATGTGTACATGTGAATTTATTTTTTGCCTACAGTAACATCTTCCTATCTCATGTTAAGAACTCTGATGAGAGAAAATCAGATATGGGAGTGGGCACAGGAAGGATGAGGACAGAGTTTCTCCCTGGAACTTTCAGAAACAACTCCTCTAACTCTCCGAAGGGCATCTCATTCAAGTACACCAATGTGGAAATATAAGCCTATTACATGCAGCCTGACCAAATTTTCAAAGATGTTAGCATTAGAAGGTACAGAATCAATCCATCAAAACAGTATTTGCTATCATGTTGTGGGTAAAATTGTAATATTTCCAGAATATCTCTCCTGGCTTTGGTTCATTTGCATATCCTTAGAGGTGGAGAGAAGTTCATCTCCATGTCAATGGGTAATTACCTGGGCAACCTAGAGCATGTCTGAACCTGAGAAGTTAAGGGGAGGGGCTTGCTTGCTTGCTATCTCCGGAGCAGGTGAAAGAGATGGCACTGGACTGCAGTCTATAAGCAATAAATGGATTTTAAACTTTATTTCTCCTTTTGAGTGATTTTTGTTTTTAGAGTTATTTTGCCCTGGGATTTCCTCTCCCTGGAGTTACATCTGGCGGTAGTCCGCAGGATTCCTCAGAACCCAAAATCTGTCATAATGGGTGCGACCTTTGAGAGGGCTGCCCCAAGAAATGGTGGAGAAATGCCCAGAAGACCCCTGTGGATGGCGGTGAGGCCTCAGTGGATGCAGCAGCAAAGGGTGCAGCTTCACCTGTTATTATCCCCCCAGCTGTGGGACTTCCAATTTTGGAACCCCTATTGGGAATCGGTCTAGGATAAAATACCTCTTAGAAGAGTGGGGTCTTGCCCAGAACTGGGGAAACGTGTAAACACTGGAAGCTGCAGAATTAGCCCTCCGTGAGTTGGAAGACTACGTGGAGATCTTAGGGGGTCAGGTAGCTGCTGGCATTGTAGCTTCTCTTTCCATCAAGATAGTGGAAAATGTTATACAGGAGAGAGAGGGACTTAGGCTGGAGAGAGACACATTTCAGCATCACTTGGAGGAGCTGGGCAATAACCAATGGGATGCTATTAAAGAAGAGAGACAGTTACTGAAAAGACAGGTCACACTCCTAGAGACTCCTTAGCGGTAAGGGAGAAGGCAGCAGGAAAAGCTGCATTGCAAGAGTCCATGGGGGAGAGGGAGGAAAGAGTAGTGCCTTCAGCCCTGGAAATGGTGGAGGAGGAGCCATTGGTGGAGGAGCCTGAGGGAGAAGAGGAGGAAGCAGGGCCATTGACGGATTTGCTACCCAGGCCACCGCCGGAGGTACCATCTTCTCCTGCATTAAAGGTCCACCCAGCTATAATTAAGAAAATAAAAATGAAACAACCATGGGATCCACAGGGAGAGAAGCAGCCCCCTTCCCAAGTTGTGGAGCACTCCATGCTCCACCCTTATACCCAGGATGAGCAGGTGGACATGAGCATCTGGTATAGGCAGAGGCTATCAGAATCTCTGCCTACATGGCTTTTACTTCTCTGAGATGGGGGTGGAAAATATTGTTATGTTGGATACTGAGATGAGTAGAATGGCTTCCCTGATGACTCACCCTTCCCTCTGGCAGTGCTGCAAAGTACCAGTCACATTTTAGGGAATCAGGTGCTTCTGGATTGGCTGACAGCAGCCATCAGGGCAGTTTGACGTAATCAGGGTTATTTCCCTTACCCAGTATCTGGAAAACATATGCAAACCTCCAGCAGGTGTTACAGTTATTTGACCTAGGCTGGGAACTTCATGGAAGACAGTACTAAGGATTCACCTGAGCCCTCACCCCCACAAGAGGATGACTGGGTATCACGGTTGGACTGAGGTGGTGTCAAAGTCCCCACCTTGGTGGACAAGGTTGGACCAGAGGCCACATGTAGAATTAGCAATTCGTTGTCCCCCTGTGAATGTACAACATGTCCTGGCGGTGGTGGACACAGAAGCTGAATGTTCTCTGATCCATGGCAACCCTGAGTGTTTTCCCGGGACCCCTGCTCTAATAGATGGCTATGGGGGCTATGGGGGCAAGGCAATTAGAGGGAAGAAAGCCAAAATCTCACTAGGGTAGGGCATTTACCCCCAGAGGAGTACACTGTGTACATTTCTCCCTGAATATATTTTGGGGGTAGATATCCTGCAGGGCCTGTGGTTACAGACCACTGCAGGTGAGTTCAGAATTAAGGGACGTGTGGTAAAGGCACTTCTGAGGGGACATGCTAAACACCTGCCTGTAGCTCTGCCTGTATCTCAATGGGTGACAAATACTAAGCAGTATAAATTGCCTGGGGGGCACAAGGAAATTGGAGAAACTCTGCAGGAGTTGGCGAGGGTGGGCATCATTGGCCCACTCATAGTCCTTTTACTTCCCCAGTGTGGCCAGTGTAAAAGCCAGACGGCTCCTGGCATATGACTGTAGACTACAAGGAATTGAATAAAGTCACACCCTCTTTGCATGCTGCTGTCCCCTCTATAGCAGACATTCTGGACACGAATTGGGAATGTATCATTATGCAGTACAGCTAGCTAATGCTTTCTTCTCTATTGACATAGCACAGGAAAGCCAGGAACAATTTGCCTTCACATGCGTAGGTTGGAAGTGGACATTCACTGTTTTTCCACAGGGTTATCTCCATGGTACCACCATCTGTCATGGACTCGTAGCCCAGGACTTGGCCACATGGAGAAAACTGCAAAAAGTGTGGTTGTATTGGTACATTGATTATATTATGCTCACATCTGATTCTCTTTCAGATTTAGAAGGGGCAGCTCCTAAACTGCTCCAACATTTATAGGAAAATGGATAGACTGTGAACAGCACCAAGGTTCAGGGACCTGGTTTGTCTGTGAAATTCTTGGGGTTATCTGGTTAGGTTAAACTAAAGTTGTTCTTGAAGCAGTTATAGACAAGGTCCATGCTTTCCCCACCCCTACCACTGTGGCAGTATTACAAGAGTTTCTGGGTCTTTTGTGTTACTGGAGAGTGTTTATCCCGCACTTGGCACAAATTCTGAAGCCCTTATAAGGGTTGGTATGAAAGATCATCAGGTGGGACTGAGATGAGACATGTGCAGCTGCTTTTGCTGCTACGAAGCAGGCAGTCAAGGCTGTACAGTCCTTGAATGTAATGGACTCATCAAGGTCCTGTGAACTAGATGTTCATGTAACTGAAGATGGTTATGGATGGGGTCTTTGGCAGCAGCTTGAATGGACATGCCAACCTATTGGATTCAGGTCACAACTATGGAAAGGAACAGAGATCTTGTATACCTTGATAGACAAGCAACTGGCTGCTGCGCACCATGCCTTACTGGCTGTGGAGCCCATCACCAGAATAGCTCCAACCAAGGTAGTAACCACCTATCTCATTGCAGGGTGTGTGCGAGACTGGACCCAAAGGCCATGGAGTGGTGTGGCACAGACAGCTACACTGGCCAAATGGGGCACATATTTAAAGCAGTACAGCGCCCTCTCAACTAGGCCCGTAAGTGGAGAACTCCAATGCTTATTGGGGCCAGTGACCTATACCAGTAGAAAACAGGAAGAACTTGCTTCTGAGTCATTGATAGCTAAGACTCCTTATCAGGAGGGAAAAGCCCCTATACCTGAAGATACTTGGTACACAGAGAGCTCTAGTCGTGGGCACCCCACAAAGTGGAGGGCTGTGGCTTTCCATCCTAAGACTGAGACAATATTGATGGAAGATGGAGAGGGGAAGAGCAGTCAGTGGGCTCAGTTGCAGGCAGTATTGCTCGTGATCACCCAGGAGCTTTCCCCATAGTTTTCCACAGTGACAGCAGGCTGTCTATTGTGGCTTGACCCTGTGGCTACTGACATGGTATCATGCC